ACTGCGTCCCTGGGCCGCCTTTACGTTTCCAGCCCTGAGTTGCCCACGCTGGCTATAAACTCATTCTTTTGTCCAGGCAGGCCTTGACTTTAGACTCCTCCTGCCTCCACCTGTTTTGTGTTCTGGAAATCTTAGAGTTTCACATTTAAGGGCATGAGCCTTTGCATGCTGTGTGCAGTGTAGCTTCTGTCAAAGTTCCTTTTGTATGTATGGGAAGCCAGTTGTTCCAGCACCTTCTACGATGCTGCTGCTTTTTTACTCACTTTCCCGGTTACCGTGGTCTATCACCACCTCATCCTTAACCAGAATAGCCTCTATTAAACAAGAAGAAAGAGTAACTAGGCATGCTGGCTCAGGCCTGCAGTCCGGCCGGCTCTCAGAAGACAGAGGCAGGAGGATCTTCGCAAAGCCAGCCTGGGCTGTGTGGTGAGACCCTGGGGTGTGTGGGTAGTGAGGGGAATAATGCAGGTATTTGGCAGGTAGAAGAATTGGAAGCTCATTCTTCACAGGCAGGACTGTGAGACCAGCTTACCATCCTCTTGTAAGGTTAAACACAAACATGGACCGTCTGTGCGCTCCATCGCTTCCACTCCAGGTGCACGTTAAAGAAGTGAGGGCAGGGGCCAGGCCTGGTGCTGCGCCCCTTTAATCCCAGCACTCAGAAGCAAGAGGCAAGTGGATCTCTGTGAGTTCGAGGCCAGCCTGGACTACAGAGTGAGTTCCAGGACAGTCAGGGCTGTGTAGAGAGACCCTGTCACAAAAAGTCAAAGCAAAAACTGAAAGCAGGGACTGAGAGATATTTGCACACCCAGTGCCTTGCAGTGTTCTTCACAGCAGCCAGAAAGTGGAAACAACCTAGCATCCCTCCATGAATGGAAAGAGAAAACTGGCAGGTACACATAATGGCATATTATTCAGCCATAGAAAGGGATGAAGCCTTAATCGATGCTATTGTGTGGCTGGACCTTAAAAACATTATGCTTAGTGAAAAAAGCCAGGCGTAAGGAAGAATGATTGCATGAGTCCACCTGTACACAGGGCCTAGACTAGCACAAAGGAGCAGAAGGTGGAAGAGGCTATGGGGAGGCTGAGGGAACAGGGAAGGAGCAGTTCTCTTTTGCTGGGGCTGGTATAAAGGCTGGGCTAAAGAGAGTGGTGATGGTTATACAACACTCGGAGTATTTAAAGATGCTGGGCAGCATGCATACTTCCAAGTGGTTAAAATGGTAGTGTATGTGTTTTATACCACAGTGAAAAAAATCACTTTTTTGTGTGTTTGTTTTTAAATCTCATAAGCTTTCTGAGACAGTCTCACATGTGTCTCTGGCTAACCTAGAACTCAGTTCCCCTTGCCTTTGCCTCCTGGGTGCTGGGTTTACAAGCGTGCTCCACCACACTGGGCATAAAATCACTTACTTTTTAAAGCCCAGTGCATTGGGGCTGGAGAGGTGACTCAGGTTAAGAGTATTGGCTGCTCTTGCAGAGGACCTGGGTTTGGGTCCCAACACCCAGCTCACAACTGTCTGTAACTGCAGTTCCAGGAGGTCCAACGCCCTCTTCTGGTTTCTGTGGGCACTGCACATGTGCACCAGCAGGCCTACAAAAAATAAAACAAATCCCTAAAGAATAAAACTAGTCATGTTGGTGGGAGTCTGTTTCCGGGTTCTCCGTGCTCCCGCACTGACCTGCATGCCCCAGCCTCACTGCCTCCTCTGCTGTGTGGCAGACTTTAGTGTCAGGGGGGAGGTGCCTCCCACTTGGCTGTTACCCATGGGTCTGGGTCAGACATCCTGGAACTTCTCCCAGATGGTCTCATCCTTGCCACCTCCCTGAGCCTCGTTCCCAATGCCCCACTTAGACAGTGTCACCGTGTGTGTGTGTGTGTGTGTGTGTGTGTGTGTGTGTGTGTGTGTGTGTGTGTGTGTGTGCTCATGTGTATGCATGCATGTGGAGGTCAGAGGTTGAGTTCCTCCGTTACTCTCCACATTGTTGAGGCTGGATCGCACCAGTTTTCCTAGACCAACTAGCTAGTGAGCTCCAGGTGTCAGCCTGTCTCCACCTCCCCGGAACTGGGGTTACAGACACACCTGCCATGCCCAGCTTTTCACGGGAGTGCCAGGATCCAGCCTGGCTCTCCGTGCTCACAGCACAGGTGCTTCACCAACTGAACCACCTCCCGGACGTTGCTCTTCTTAGTAGACTGGGTTTCTAGGTGACCCCTTCTCTAGCCTTCCCTCCCGGCTACCATCCCCAGCTGCCTGGCCCCGCTCCAGCCTCACCACTGGTCTCCATACCCGCTCTGGTCTTCTGGACCGCATCCTCTCCCAAGCAAAGTCACAGCCTCAAGCTCATGCCTCTCCGTGGCAACCTGCCGCAGCTCCCCATGGCCGGCCTCCGCCGCTTTCTCCTCCCTTTGGGCCTGTCAACTGAAATTCCAAGTCCCACAGGGCATCTGGTGGCCACGTGGTGACCTCTTGCAGAGGACCGAGTGCAGGGAAGGAAGTTGCATGTGGCTGGAGCAGGCGACTGGGTAAGGGTAGGAGGAAATGGGGCAGAGGTGGGCATGGCCTGGGGGCTCCTGGTGGGGAGATGGCTGTGACTGTGAGGCCCCAGCTGGTTTTCAGCAGAAAGGGACACAGTCAGATTAGCTTCACAAAGGTCTGCCTGACCCAGCAGAAAAACAGGCAAAGGTATTGAGTAGACACTCGTGGCAGAGGGCAGTCACAGCTTCTGTAAGTGTGAAAGGATGCTCCATGGATGCTCCATGGACAGAGGAAGAAAATGCAAATGAAAACCAGGCTGAGCTGAGCAGGAGCTGGGCTGAGCTCTCCAGGTGAGCAGTGGCAGCCCTGGGCTTGCTGAGGGTGCAGGGAGCAGGGCATTCCTGGTGCAGGGCCACTGGCATCGCCCACTGATGCTGGCAGCCCTGTTAGCACCCCTGCACTGCCTGTGAGAGCTGCCAGCCTGGCCCCAGGGGGCCAGCTCCAGTCACCACAGCACTTCACATGGCCGTCAAAGTGGAGGCCAGCATTCTGCAAAACGAGGCCTGGAGAGACTCATGGGATCCACATCTAAACATGTGTTCATAGTCTTTTCCTTTAAAGCCCTTCCTTTTGACATTAGGATGCGTGCTGGAAATTGCCTCACACACGAATGGAAGAGCAGAGCAGTTACTATAACGGGAAAACCTTTCTTCCCTCCAGGGGAAGACAGGTGGTACCTTCCATTCTCTATACTTCAGGGGCTCCTGATCCTTCTCCTCCTATGCTGGGAGTTGAACACAGGGCCTTGTGCATGCTGGGCACGTGTGCTACCACTGAGCCATGCATGTCTCCAGCCCTCCCTGGTGGAGTCTAAGCAGGGCTCTACTGTTAGGCTGCCCTCCTTTTACCCTTTGGTGGGGGGTGAAATAAGGTCTTTCTTGCTATATATCCCTGGCTAGCTTGGTATTTGCTTGTATCCTACCTAGGATGACCTCATACAGCAGTCCCATGGCCTCAGCCTACCGAGTGAACCACATCTGGCTCCTTTTGTGTTTTTGTTTTTTGATACTGAGATGGGGTCTCATCTTGTTATCCAGGATGATCTTGAATTCACTGTAGCCCAGACAGCCTTGAACTTGGGACCCTCCTGACTCTTGGGACCATATCCTTTGCCCTTCCTCTTTGGTTTTGCCACCTCCTTTCCAGGGGTTTTGCGCTTTATCATAATGGGGTCCTAGGCTTTGTTATTGAGACTCACCCCATGTAGTGCAGGCCATGAGATCCCCATGCTGTCCTTCCAGGGACCCAGGAGATCACGTTGAGGGCATTTGTCTGTTTTCCCTTGTCTGGTGACCACCATAAACCTTCCCACGGCCCGTGGGCTGGCGTTTTGCTTATGTTGTACCCAGGAGAACACTGCCAGGTCCGAGGTGTGTTTCAACCTAACTGGTGCTGCCAAGTCCTCCCTCCCAAGTGCCAGCTGTATGGCAAGGATGTTTTGGAGTAGGTAAAGGTGCTGTGTATGGACTGGGCTGCATTTTGTGAGGTTCTTCAAAGTGCGAAAGTGTATTCCTGGAACATGTGGGTCTCTCCAATGGAAAAAACCAAGGATAATGGGGAGGGCATTACCTGCCTCTGTTTACCCTTTTGGCATTGGTACCTACCATGTGACTGTGTCCTAGAGACAGGCAGAGATGAAAAGGAAAGGGACAGACAAGCTCCTGTGTGACAAACCATGATTAGTGAGTCACACACTCAGCACTCCCTCTTGGACCTGTTTCCTGGAGCTGGCCAGAGCTGGCCAGGCCGAGCCACCTCCCCCACCAGAGCCCAAACCTGCTGGTCTGGTTTGGGGAGGCAGCCCTACCTAGCTCCTCTCTGGGTGGCTGCTTCCTAGATGCCCTGCTCCCACAGGGAGGCGGTGCCCGGAGATCTGAGACTTTGGGGTCTCCCGGCCTTGTTCTGCAGTGGGGAGGGAGTGGGACTAGATGAACACAAGTGGTTCCGGCCACCTGCTGGTCGTCCTCACAGGGGCTCCACAGGCTGGGCCGTGCTCACTGGGCCAGAGCCTTCTGGCCCCACTCCCCACCCCTCTTGGGACAGGGCATTTCTTTGGCTGGATTGCCTGCCACCCAAGTGAGTCCTCATGTATGCAAGGAGCTTGGTAAATTTGGGGACTGCAGACAGTAGTCGACAGAGGTCATAGCTGCTGTGGCAAGGCCCAGAGGACATGTGTGGTCCAGCCTGGGCTGATAGGAAATGCTTCCTGAGCGAGTGCAGGAGGCTGGCCCCAGAAGGACAGACAGACTGAGCTCTCTGCCCCTGGACAGCCTTACACTGGAAGTGACTGCACAGGAGGCCTCTGCGCAGGGCCAGCGACCAGCTGGGCTGTCAGAAGGGCTCGGGAGCGCCCGCCCCGTCCAGATGGCCGTTGTTCAGGCCGGAGGCTCTGAGCAGCACCGCCTCACCCAGAGCAGTTGGGTAAGGGCACAGGCATCGGAGTGGCCTGCATTCGGCCGGTCCCACAGCCTCTCCGGACTTCTTGGTTGCTCTGCTGTAAAGGAGGCCTGCTAAAGTGGCTGACCTGTGCTGGGCAGGGATGAAGCAGGAGGACTTGGGCATGAGCGTATCAGCTCCTGCAGGCTTAGCGTGGCATATTGGTCCCAGCCTCCACACCACCATTGCTCCTATCATCCATCTCTCCACTTTCAGCTCCCCTGCTTATACCACTTGCTACAGTCGCACCCAGGGGAGAGAAAGGGGATGGGGCCCACCAGGCTCTCTAGATACACCCCACCTCGGAGAACCCACGTGCAGCCCTCAACCCATCTGTAACACAGCCCACCCTGAGGTCTCCAGAGGCGCTCTCCTGTATCTAGCTCCTCCCCCATTGTTTCCAACCCATTGGTCCAGTCGCGGCTCTGGTGTGCAGCCTAGATAAGCCCTGCTTTCCTGGGCCCCTGTTATCCAACCTGTGTGTGGAGGGGGAGTTAGGATGGGTGTGCCTGTTGTAGTGGAGGCAAGTCCTGCTGACCAGGCTGTGCCTGGGGTCCCTGCCAACCCTCCCCTCTGTCCCTCAGCTATGGGCCACCCTCCCGGGCCTACTGGCTCCAGCCCCACCTCCCGCCTCCCTGCTTCCCGCCCTCTGTGGGTGGGAGCCACAGCCCCAGTTGAGCTGTTCCGAGCTAGACTGTGTCCCCACGAGTGCTAGAGAGCTTTGGTTGCAGAGCCAGCTGGCCAGTCTGAGGGTGCCCTGAAGCCTGTCCCTGCCCTTTGCACTGGGAGCTCTGGCCATCAGGAAGCAGAAAGAGAATGGTGGAGGTAAGCAGGCTGCCTGGGGCCTTTAGGAGAGGGCGGGGCTGACCACTGGAGCCAGTGTGAGTATGTGGGATGGGCCACACCTTTCTTGGGTCCAGGGGTGGAGTGACTGTTGTTCCCATGTGTGAGGTGGCAGGCTCCTGGGAACTGGTCAGTGTCTGAGCACAGGCCCCTGAGCCTCTGTGCAGACATCTTCCTAGTGAGCCTTGAGTGGGCTGGTGTCAGACATTAGGAACTCATTGCTTGCTGCGCGTGGACCTGTGGCTGTGTGGCCCCCAGGGCCTCACCTTGTAGTCCTCGGGACCTCTTTCAGATTGTGTGGACATGCGCACCACTGCGCCCGCAGGCATGCTGGGGCCTACTATGTATCATAGCTCTTGTGCTGTGGCTATAGGTATCTCTAGGGAACCCTGCCTCTTTGGGGTGGGGAGGGTCTTCATGTTTTAGAGCGTCCACAGTGGGCTGCTCAAGGGTCCCCGGTCCTTCCACTTGCTGAGCACTTTCTCCGGGCCTGGGCCTGCCAGCTGCTTCCCTGAATTCCCTCTGGTGCCTCCTAAGCTCCCTCCACCAGGCTTTGCTGGCACCTTTGTTTGAGGGGCGAGACGCTCGGTTCTGAGCTCACCTTAGCATGCTCCACAGTAAGCGGTGGCCTGGCCACTGCCTCCTCTGTTCACGCCCTGTGGCAGCTGCCACTTAGGTGCTCAGGGTGCTGTGAGGAGGCGAATGGGTGACTATGGTCTCCAGCTAGTCGGGGTTTTCAGGATGACTACATGTATCTGGATGCCCAGCCGGTCGGTCTGTCTGTCTGTCCGTGGGCTTGTTTGGTTTACTGTTGCAGGGCCTGTGATATGGCAAGTGTAGGTTGTATTAAAAGCTGTCACTGGCTGCGTGGTGGCCTGATGTGTGAGGTGATGAGGTGGCCTGACAGGCAGGTGGACCGGAGGGAGTATAGGAAGATCAGGAGCCCCCTCCTGGCTGCCTCTTCTTCCTGCAGGGCTTCAGAATGGATGAAAACTCCTCTGATGTTGCATAGGTTTTCTCTGGCAGCCATCCCCGCTTGGGCTCTGTGTGGATGACCACAGGATGCTCGTGCCCAGCCGGGATGGAGGCAGAAGCTGGCCAGGCAGCTTCCCATTCAGCCCCCTCTACAGCTCACTCTCACTGCCTATGGTGCACACAGTTGGCGGTACACTGTGGCTAAGGTGGCCCTCACCCCGGCCTTCGTGAGGTTCCCAGTGTAGTGGGTTAGACAAACCAGTCCTCAGACAGTGGCAGCCTGTCGTGTCCCCACCCCAACCCTGGGGGAAGTGACCCTACCACATGTGTGCTGGGAGGGGGACTGTGACCAGCGTCCTCGTTAGTGTGCAAGGTCAGTCATCTTTCACGCTGCAGGAGGACCATGGCAGACCCTGTCCTGCACGCCTCACTTGTGTCGTCTGAATGTTCCCAACAGGTAGGGACTGTCACAACTGTGGTTCTGCAGCTAGAACACTGAGGTCCAGAGAGGTTAGGTGACTTGGCGAGGGACACGCAGCTCGAGTGGCCAAGCTAGCACCTGGGTCTGGGCAGTCTGCTCTTAGGCCCACGGAACCCCTGTAGTACCGGGACAGCCCTGTGTTGGGCAGTGGCCAAAAGAGACAGGCCTCTTCTAGCAGCAGTCTAGAAGGACACTAAGACAGACTGAGAAGGGTGGCGGTGACTGCCCTTCCAGGAGACCATACCCAGCCACTTAAAGGAAGAGGAAGGGGCCAGGGCGGTGGTGACACCTTTAATCCCTGCACTCAGAAGGCAGAGCCAGGCGGATCTCTGTGAGTTCGAGGACAGCCTGGGCTATGGGACAAGTTCCAGGACAGCCAAGGGAAAAAGTAAGCTGGCAGTTCTGCGCAGGAGGCTGTGGGTTCAAAGCTGTGACAGTCTGCTGTGTTCGGTTTGGGTGGCTCAGCTGGAGGGGTGCAGAGAGGGCAGGCGTGTGAGACGTGCGGGCCTCGCGCAGGCAGGCTGTGTGGTCACCACTGGAGTCATACGGGCAGCTTCTCCCCTGCTCTTGTCCCGTAGACCCCTTAGGTCCTTCCTGTGGACTGGAGGCCTGAGTGGAGCTGGGGCCACTGAGAAGCACGAGACTGATAGGGTGTTAAAAGGCCTTCTTTGTGGGACAGAGTGGGGTACTTTTGTGACCTGGCGCTAGGTGGCCCTGGGCAGTTGATTTCCTCTTTGTGGGCCTCAGTTTCCTGGTTTAGGGTAGAGGAGTCCCACCCACCCAGGTCTGTTTGGGGACCCATGGTGGCAAGTCTCTGTGCCTGGCACATGCCGGCCACAGCTTCAGCTGTGTGGGCCACCGGTGTAGCAGACCGTAAGCTTTGGACAGGCCGACACTGCCATGCTCAGGGGTGGTGAGCACTCGAGAGTGATAGGCAGGAGGCCAGTGGGCCCAACCTGATGCTGTGTCAAGCAGGCCAGGTCTGCAGAGTTCACATTCCATGCCCTGGCACCGTCTTGCCGTCTTGATCTTTAGAATGAGCAGAACCTGCCCACTCTGCCCACTCCACAGCCCCCAGTGTGTCCTGTCCACCAAGTCTCCTGCTGGACTGTCCAGCCATCTCCCTGGTTCCCTGTTCCCGCCCCTCCCCTGCCTAGTCCCTCCCCGCAGCTCCGTCTTACTTGGGAAGGATGGAGCCCTTGCTGCAGCAGTCCACGAGGCTCCACCCGATCTCCCTCAGCTCAAGCCTGTGCCGCTTAACCCAGCTGTCTCCCAGCCTGCCCCGCTGCAGCCACCAGGCCGCCTAACAAGTGCCACCTTCGCCCTGACTGGTTTCTACCTCCTGCCCCTCTTCCAGAGCACAGGTCCTCTTTGGACAAGGCCTCGTGCAGTGAGAACGTGACAGACAGTTCTCACCTCCTTCACCTGAGCCTCTGAGCCTGCCTTTATTTCCTCTCAGATCTTCAGTCTGCCCTGCAGACTTGGGTGGACATGGTTTATTGACAGTCACTTTTCCCCAGTGCGAACCCTGCAGCAGAGCTGCGGAGCTGTGGGCGGGGCAGGCTCCGCCTCAGCTGTCACTCAGAGGGGCTGATAGGGAGGTGAAGGCCCAGTAGCTGTGACAGGTCACTTAGGAGTGTGTGTGTGTGGTGTGGGGGGGGGGGCGGTCTGGTGAGGAGGGACCAGGGCCATCACCTAGGAAGACTCCTGGAAGAAGTGGGACCAGAGGGGGAGGCTAGGGGGCACATTAAGATTACATGAGTAGAGCTGACGGTGGCAGGAAATGGGCATGGGCTCGAGAAGGCAGGAACCAGACCACCCCCGTTGTCAGCTCAGTCCTGGAAAACGGTGCACTGAGGCAGGAATGGCTCTTTTGGAGGTGGCGGCGCATTCCTTTTGGGAGTATGGAGGTGGAGGCATTTGCCTCTCATCAAAGTGGAAGTGGAGCAAGGGGCGCAGGAGGAAACTGGAAAACGTGAGTATCCCACACTTTGAAGAGTTCGAGAGCTCTTCAAAAACTGAACTAAGCACTTCAAAATATAGTACTGTTTTGGTGCATGTCTTTAATCCTAGCACTCATGAGGCAGAGGCAGGTGGATCCCTATGAGTTCAAGGCCAGCCTGGTCTACAGAGCAAGTTCCAGGACAACCAGGGCCACACAAAAACACTCTCTCAAAACCCAAAAAGCAATATCTATGTAGTTTGTTGTTTGTTTGTTTTAGAGTTTTTAGTGTGTGCTTTGGGCTGGGTGCTCCTGTCCCTGCCATTCTGCTCCATACTTCTCCAGAGTACCTAATCACCCCTTTATGTCTAGGGTCCAACAGGATACTCCCAGCACTGGCTTAGAGTAGCCCCTGCCCTGAGGTTCCTAGGAGCCAGGGGGCTTGTGTTGGTGACTTTCCAGGGCCACAAGTTCCCTCGTGGTAGTGAGGGGCGTGTCAGCACTAGAACAGAATGAAGAACATTTGATGACAGGGACAGGTTCTCAGGCATCTTTTCTGTGGCCATCTGTCTCATCAAAGGCCCTAGGAGGGGGTCCAGGAGGCCCATTCCCCATGGGACCAGGACAGGAGAGGGAAGGGGAGGTCTGGAGCCAGGGAGGTAGAGGCAGTATGGTGACCAAGACCAGTCTTATACAGCACAGGCAGGTTAGAGCCCAGCCAGGTGTGCCCACCTTCCCAGGTTCGGATCCTGGCAACCTCTCGCTGGCTGAGTGCCTTGGGCAGGGGATTTCCTCTCTGGAGTCTCAGCTTCCCTCCAGACACCTGGGGTGAGGAGCTTCCGTCGCAGGGCTGTGCAGGTGGCATGGGGCTGGGCACCATGGACAGGGTCTGCCTGGCCGGAAGGAGGGGCCACAGGCCCTGGGAGAAGTGGCCTATTCCGATGTCTACCCTGGCTTTGCCCCTGACAAGTGAGGGGGCCTCTGTGCCTTGTTGTCCTTATTTAAGGCACGGGGCTCATGGCCTCTTTGGATCAGGAGCAAAGGTTGAGGGATGCTTGGGTAAAGTGGTTCAAAGAGAGGTGGCACACAGTAGGTGCACATGCCTGCTGGCTGTGTTGTCATGGTGACTAGTACTGAGCATTTCCTCCTGATTCTGTAATAATGGCTCTGAGCCAGGCCCAGTGCCTTGCTTGTTTTGCATTCTATGTGACTCCTTGTAAAAGCTGCCGGAAGCAGCTACTGTCTGTCATCACCATCTTAACCAAGAGGAAACTGAGGCCTGAGAGTGGAGCTCTTTCCCTGGGGTCACACTTGGAATTTCCTGCACGAGCTGTGGTCTTCACAGCTATAAACACCAGGTCACACAGTGCTAGTTAGCTGTCAGCTGGGGTTTTGAGGCCTGGGCTTCCGGGCTCTGAAGTTCTGAACCCACGGGGTCAGGAGCTGCCTAGAAGGGCCTGGGTGGGGCCTGCACCAGGTCATTATAAACATGGCCAGTTCCTCTGTTTGTCCTTCCCTCCATACGCTGCCCAGAGGAAGGGGTGGCCCAGGCAAATATCCGGAGGTGTGCCCTTCCGCCCCTTCTCCTGCAGGGTCATAAGTGGCTGCAGTGTGCAAGGGGGCTTGGAGGTTATGAGTGGGGGTCTGTATGGGGGAGCATGGGAAGGCACTGCCCCATGCTCCCCCACCTTTTCCATCCTGGCCACTTCCTTAGGTTTAGTGAGAGATCACATACACCACCACCCCTCTTCTGCCAAGTCTGGGAGCTGCCTTGGGGCTGCCTGGGTGTGGGAGGTGGGAACAGAGTAGAGCCAAGAGTTCAAGGTGAGGAGCAAGCTAGACAGGGAGGGCAGGGAGCCCCAGGGTGCAGCACCTGGCTGCACGCTGTGCCAGGCAGCATGGGCTAGGCAGCAAGGGCTGTGCCTCTGTTGGGGTTGTAGAGACAGACCTAGAGTCAAGGAGGGCTTGGAAGCCAGCCGGGTCTGGGTAGCCTTGGTGCATAGGTCGAGGTGATGGCGATGGCCAGGCAGGAAAGGCTGGAAGGAAGGGTGCATGGTGCCGCAGACAGAGAAGGCTAGAAGCCAGAGATGCCCGTCTGTCCCAGCTGTCCCGCCCTCTGTCAGAACCACTGGGCCTGGGTCAAGCAGAGAAACTGAACCAGCTGGGAAAGCCCTGTCCAGGCCCGGGGCTGGCCACCTGCTGGCCTCCTGGGACCAGTTGAGACAGGCTGGCTGCTGAGTTGCCCCCTTCCCACCACACCTGCCTCTCACTGCGCTGCCAAACCGGTTTCCCTGGCTTCCTGCCCATAATGTCCTTCTTGTGGGCTGAGTTGGTGGCTCCCCAAGAAACAGAGCTGTGCCGGGAGGTGGGGAGAGCTGGGCTGGGGCTCCCAGCAGGCTCTCGCTGGGGCTGGGGCTGGTCTTGTGCGTGCCCTCCACCCTGGAGGAAGATGGAAGTCCTCTGTGGAGTCCTTTGGACCCCCCGTCATGGGCGCCTCCTGTAGGAAGCCTCCCCTTAGCTGTCCCTCCATGGCTGGTAGCACTTTGTCAGCCAAGTCCCTACCAGTGTGCACTGTCACTGTCTAGGGACTGGTCTGTCTGTCCCATGTGGACGGACACCTTAGTGGGTCATAGGCTGTCTAGGCTGTCATCATGTCCCACCACTAGCCAGGGTGCAGTGGGTGTTAGTGAATGAATCAGTTACGGATCTTTTCTTCCTGTCTTGCAGATGAGTAACTCAAAGCCCCGGGAGGAGACGTCACCCACGCAAGGGTGTTTCTAGCCCAGCCAACTTGAGACCAGGTCTGTGTGCCTATAGGGCTCCTCCCACGGGCCAGTCTCCTGGGCATCAGGGGCTGGTGGGGGCAGGGAGGGGGAGAGTGAGAGGCCATGGAAGGGGAGGCTTGTGCCGCTGCTGTCTGGCTCCCATCATTTCTTGAGCTCTCTGTGGGGTACCACCATCGTCCCTCCTTCAGCCGGGATGGAACCCAGGGCCTCCGGCCCACTGTGCTCCACCACCGAGCTACAGCCCCAGACCTCTCTATTATCTGGTTTTGAGTCCGTCTCACTGGTCGTCCAGAATAGCCTGAACTCCTCTCCATCCCAGGAGAGCTTCGGAGCTGCCGGCTGCCTCCGTCCTGAGTAGCTGGGGCTGCGGGCGTTGGTGCGGCCTGTGCCCTGGCTGGGCGCGGCCTGTGAGTCTTTGTCGGTGGTGTTATTTAATTTACTTTTTAAAAATGATTGGTTTTTAAATGTTATGTGTATGGGTGTTTTGCCTGCATGTATGTCTGTGCATCACATGCGTTCCTGGTGTCCTCAAAGGTCAGAGGAGGGCATCAGATTCCCTGGAACTGGAGTTACAGATAGTTGTGAGCTACTGTGTGGGTGCTGGGGATGGAACCCAGGTCCTCGGAAAGAGCAGCCAGTGCTCTTACATGCTGAGCCAGTTCTCCAGCTTCCCACCCCTTTTTTGAGACAGGATCTCTCTATTTGTTCCTGGCTAGCCTAGAACTCACTATGTAGACCAGACTGACCTTGAACTACAGAGGTCCACATGCCTTTGCCTCCAAGTACTAGGATCAAAGACATGCACCGCCATGCTGGCTCAAGGCATTTATTTGTGACTGGTGCTATCTAACGCCCAATTGAAGACCCGGGCCCTAAAGCTAGGGTAACGTCACAACGTGGAGGGGCATCCCATGTGTCTGTAGCTGATGGTTGTGGCCAGACTGAAGGTGGGGACTGCTCACTGTACACACTGGCACACTCAGAGTGTGCCCAGCCCAGAGGTGGACCAGAGACACTGTGGATGGGCTAGTCTAGGCACTGTTAGCATTAGTGGGGTTGGGAGAGACAGAAGACATGACACACAAGGACCAGCAGCAGGTCCCCACAGGTTGAGGCCATCTGAAGGTGATGTGATGGCCAGCAGGCTGTGTGGTTGGGAAAGGAGTTAGTGCTAACGCAGAAACTGAAGGAGGAGAGAGAGGGAGTTCTGGCGATGATAGGGAAGGGTGTTCCAGGTAAGGGGACTGCCCGTGCAAAGGCCCTGAAGTATGGAAGCTGATGTGGGGTGATGGAGCGGGCTATCAGGTAAGGGGGACTGCCCGTGCAAAGGCCCTGAAGTATGGAAGCTGATGTGGGGTGATGGGGCGGGCTATCAGGTAAGGGGACTGCCCGTGCAAAGGCCCTGAAGTATGGGAGCTGATGTGGGGTGACGGGGCGGGCTATGTGAGGTCTCTGGGCCACAAGAAGGACTCTAGCTGTAGCTATGAGTGGAAATAGCTGGGTTTGACCCTCTGGATCAGCGGTTCTCAACCTGTGTGTGGGTCAGGACACCTTAGGGGTCACCTAAGACCGTCTGAAAACACAGATATTTACATTACAATTCATAACAGTAGCAAAATTACAGTTATGAAGTAGTAATGCGATGACTTTATGGTTAGGGTCACCACAACGTGAGGAACTATTTATTCATTTTATTTATTTACTTAGTTAATTTTATTTTTGGTTTTTCAAGACAGGGTTTCTCTGTGTAGCTTTGGCTGTCCTGGAACTCACTCTGTGGCCCAAATTCACAGAGCTCTGCCTGCCTCTACCTCCTTAGTGCAGGGGTTAAAGGTGTGCGCCGCCACAGCCCAGCTGAGGAACTGTTATGAAGGGTTGCGGCGCTAGGAAGGTTGGGAACCACTGCTCTAGTGCTTCCTAGGAACCCACAAAAGGAGCTCTTCAGAGGGCTCTTCCTGGAAGAGGCTACTGCCCCCTGCTGGTAGGTGGCAGAGAGAGCCGCTGAGCCTGGGGGGCCGAGGCAGGGAAGTGGGGAGGGTCTGAGGGACAGACCGCCTGCTCTGGTCCCACTTCCCTGGTGCTTCCCTCCTGCAGGTGCCTGTGAGAGCCCCAGCCAGCCACCGCTCACACACTTGCTGTGCGCAGGCCCTGGAACCATGTTTGGAAAGAAGAAGAAGCGGGTGGAGATCTCGGCCCCATCCAACTTTGAGCATCGCGTGCACACAGGCTTTGACCAGCATGAGCAGAAGTTCACAGGGCTGCCCCGCCAGTGGCAGAGCCTGATTGAAGAGTCAGCACGCCGACCCAAGCCCCTTATCGACCCCGCCTGCATCACCTCCATCCAGCCTGGAGCCTCCAAGGTAGCCATCACCACGTCTACCCCACAGCCATGCTGCCATAGTGGCCCAGCCCTTCAGCTGCTCTTGGCCTCCTTGTTGAACCTCCCACCTCTGTAACTCAGTGCCAGCCTTCTACCCGCCAGCCCATCAGGGAAGCCCACGCTGACCCCTGACCTCTTCACTCCTGCCCTGCACCACACACCCAACCTTGTCTCCTCAGTGGTTCATGACATAGGGACAGCCCACTCCCAGACAGCTGCATTCCAAGGACTTGAAAGGAGCAACTGAGGCAGGTGGGAGCGGGGTAGAAGCTGTGGCCCCAATGAGACACCAAGCCATTCAGTCTTGGGGGGTTTCCCTGTCACCCTGAGCAAAATGGCAGAGTGGGAGTGGGACCTGAGGTCTGGATCCAAGATCCCCACCCTTCCCCAACCTCCATGTGCAGTGAGAGTTGTGGTCTCTCTACAGGCATAGCTGTAGCCACACAGGCCTAGTGATAAGAGTGTCCTGCCAGGCCTACTGAAGCCGACTTTGGAGTTGGGTTCGTTCCACAGGTGGCGGGACCCAGGGCAGCACAGCCAAGCTTGTCCGCAGTGGGTGGAGTTGGGTGTGCCTGTGGTCAGCAGGCTGGGTGCCTGGTACTGCAGCTGATTCATTCTTCCCTGCCACCAGCCCGGGCCTGGCAGGAAGGAGGCAAACCCAGCAGGGTGTCCACAGCCTCGGTGCTTGGGCCCGGGCTGGGGTCCGTCCGGCTTGTTGTCTCCGTGGGCCTCAGGGTCATGTGAGGACCTTGTCTTCTCTCCATTGCTTAGGAAGCCCCTCCTGTCATCTGACTCTGTGTAGGCTTCTTGTGATCCAGGCCAGCTGGAAGCCAACAGAAACTGGCCCTGAAGTAGGCCCTGCTTTTCAGGTCCTAGTCTCCAGACAGCCCACCCTAGGCCCTCCCATGATCCACTGAGCTCTGTGGCCATTTCTCACAGGTCATGTCGGTGTTAGATGTCCCTAGATGTTCACCCCTGCTCCTTGCACCCTCTGCCTCTCTCTGCTCCCGCCCCCCAGCCTGCAAGGGGGATGACACTTGTCCTAGTTCACATGTGGGCACCTTAACTGGTACTGCCTACACGCCAAGGTTCGTGATCATTGACCCCAAGTTCTCAGACCAAAGCCTTTTTCATTCAGGTATCCGCTGAATGAAAGAAAGAGATAGAAGAGGAGGACGTGACTGCCCCTAGGTGTGGTGGAGGAGAAGGTTTAGTGTGGATAAAAGGGAAAGCACAGCCAGAGGCAGATCTGGAAGAGTCCAGTGTGGACATGACTGGGCCGTGTGAGGAGTGAGGAGGGGAGAGCCAGGAGAGTAGAAGGTTACAAAAGGCAAAGGGACCAGCTTAGCCAAAATGGCTGGATTATGTAGGAAAGGGCAGCTGGGGGAAGGGTAAACCAGCCGGAAGAACCCTGGAACCCTGGGGCACTGAGGGAGGCCGGGAGAACCTGGCGGCCAGGCCAGCCATTTGTCTGGGGTTTGACACCTAACATCCACCTTGCTTTCTTGGCTCCCTGGGCAAGGCAGGTTTCCAGGCAGGCAGCCAGGGCCCAGACAGGCTGGGACCACAGGTGCTTCTTGTGAGCTAGCTCGGCTTACCCTGAGCCTGTCGGAGGCCATCCAGGGCCATCCAGGTCCGTCTCTGCGTGCCACCTGGGGGCAGTGGTGGGGCAGCTCCCCATCCCTCCTCGTCTCCCCCTCTTCCCTCCTCCCTTCCTTCCCATAGTGTGGACGCTAATCTGGGAGCCAGGACATAGGCGGGGCTGTAAGTGGAGAAAAGAGCGCCCCGTCCTTGGGCAGCTCGCAGGTAGAGCGGCCTGGTGGGTGCACAGCCGTGTCAGCTGGCACCAAGAGCCAGAGGCCTGTGGGCTGGCATTTAAACTGGGAGTGAGCGAGGCATCAGAGATGTGTTTGATTAAAGACCTCGAGGAGGGGAGCAGGGCAGCCACGGAGACGTTTGGAAGATGTAGGTTGTGGGCAAGACAGAGAGCTCATGGGCACGTGTCCGGTGTGCTGGAGAAACAGCGGAGAAGCCTGTGTGCCGGGCTCGGTGGGGGCAGGGAGGCGTGCCGGCTGGTGGGTCAGGGTGTATTCCAGTTGAGTTTGCCACACAGCTCCCAGGCCTCCTAGGCCTTGACTCTAGGCTGTGGGCTTTCTGTTCTACACCCAGCCTCTAGCCCAGGGGGTCGGAGTGCCTGGTTTGGGCTAATGACGCTGGCAGCCGCAGGGGAGGAAGTGCTGAGCCAGTGGCCTGTAATTTGCAGCTCTGGGGTTGATTACAGGCTGTGTTTACCTCCCTCGCCCCAGTCCACAGGGCAGAACTGGCTGCGGGCTGGGAGCCAAGGAAAGTCACGGGGCACTTGGGGGAGCCCCCAGAGTGGGCGGTGGGCGTGAGAGCAGTCCTTGGGGCGCTGCAGGGCCCCCTCACCCCACTCATCACCACCACACCATCCCTTCACCTGTCTCTGTCTTGTCTTCGTGTTGTCTTGTTTCTGTGTCGGACGCACCACCCGTGCCCCTCCGTCCCGGCCTTACCCCAGACTATCGTGCGGGGCAGCAAAGGTGCCAAGGATGGGGCCCTCACACTGCTGCTCGACGAGTTTGAGAACATGTCGGTGACGCGCTCCAACTCCCTGCGCAGAGACAGCCCGCCTCCACCACCTGCCCGTGCCCACCAGGAGAATGGAATGCTGGAGGAGCGGGCAGCCCCGGCCAGAATGGCCCCTGACAAGGCTGGAGGCAGAGGCCGGGCCGCAGGCCACAGCGAGGCAGGCAGTGCTGACAGACGGCGGGTGGGGCCAGAGAAGAGGCCCAAGTCCTCGAGGGAGGGCCCAGGAGGGCCCCAGGAGGCCTCCCGAGATAAGCGCCCCCTCTCTGGGCCTGATGTTAGTACCCCCCAGCCTGCCAGTCTGGCCAGCGGGGCGAAACTAGCAGCTGGCAGGCCCTTTAACACATACCCGCGGGCTGACACGGACCACCCACCCCGGGGTGCCCAGGTAACCCATCCCCCACTTCAGCACCTCAGTGTCTTCCCATTGCTTCCCTTAGCCCAACCACATCCCAGCTCCCTGTGCGTTTCTCATCCTGACCTCCCGTGTGTGTGTGTGTGTGTGTGTGTGTGTGTGTGTGTGTGTGTGTGTGTGTGTGTGTGTGTGTGTGAGATCCGGCTGGGGAGAGCTAATGCAGCCTCCACTCAGGGCACTTCTTTCTTCTGTTGCAGGGGGAGCCACACAGTGCGGCCCCTAATGGGCCGTCAGCCACAGGCATGGCTGCCCCTCAGTCTTCATCCTCCTCCCGGCCTCCCACCCGAACCCGTGGTGCTCCCAGCCCAGGAGTGCTGGGCCCCCATGCCTCTGAGCCCCAACTGGCCCCCCCAGCACGTGCCCCTGCTGCCCCTGCTGCACCCCCTGCCCCTGGGCCCCCTGGGCCTCGCTCACCACAGCGGGAGCCCCAACGAGTGTCCCATGAGCAGTTCCGGGCTGCTCTGCAGCTGGTAGTGGACCCGGGGGACCCACGTTCCTATCTAGATAACTTCATCAAGATCGGCGAGGGCTCTACAGGTATCGTGTGCATAGCCACCGTGCGCAGCTCAGGCAAACTGGTGGCCGTCAAGAAGATGGACCTGCGCAAGCAGCAAAGACGTGAGCTGCTCTTTAATGAGGTAGGCACAGGCAGGAAGCCCAACACTGTCTCTCACAGCTGTCCCCAGCCGAAGGCTCCTGCCTGTGCCTCTGTCCTACCCAGTACCCATGACCCAGGCTGACTTGTTCCAGCTAGTCCTGGGCCTGTGTTCTCCCCTCCAGACCTCTTCTTGTCTCGGGGTCCCTGTCTCTGGGAAACTCTGTCATACCTCACTCTGGACCACAGCCCAGCATCCACGTCCTCCAGTCCCGCTTCTGTGTGGCCTCTCTCGCCCTTGGGCTCCTGCTCTAGCTTCTCTCAGGTCTCCCCTGGCCACTCTATATAACATCCGAGGGAGGGGGCGTTGACATCAAAGCCTTTACAGACCCTCTTAGTGTCTGTCTCCCATATCCTTAAGGCAGGCTCCAGCCCCTTGCCCCGTCAGGTCCTGTTTCCATCTAGCCATAACTAGGCACTTGGTTCAACCCAGCTTCTGGCTCTGGGTGTTGGCAGCCTTGGCATCCATCACAAAGGCGGAGAGAAGTGTGTGTGGGTGTGACAAGTCCCTCCTGCCTCTGCTGGAGGAGTCCCCAGAGGTCCAGCTTGGAGGCTGTCCAGCTCTGCTTGCCTGTCTCCTGGCACTTCCTCCCCGACCTTCGCCTGTTGCTCACACCCCACCTCAGTACTCCATCCACACCAGGGATCCCTCCTTAGCGGAGCTTGCTCCCCTGGTCCCTGTAAACGTAGTGTTGCCCACCACCCTTAGCTCTCAGCCCTTTCCCTCTCCAGTCGGCCCTTCGTCTGGAGTTCTGTTAACTGCCCCTGCACTCACACCCTTTTATTTGAGCTTTTCTTCATACCTGCTTGTCCTCTTGTTCCCTGTTCCTCTTGATGCCCCTGATGGTCAGAGCACTCAGAGACCAGCCAGGACCCGTCAGGATCAGAGAACCTGCATGGTGGGGTAGGGGTTCAGGGGGCACCCCTAGAATGGAGGGGTCTGCCTCAGGCTATCTTCGAGGTATTCTTGGCTTTGGACAAGGGACAGCTGGAGTGAGCAGGCCAGTTTGCTCCAGTGCAGCCTGCTAGAAGGTTGGTGAGAGGCTGGCTGGCGCCAGCTCTAAGGGCAATACCTCTGGTCCCAGTGCTGACTCTGCCCCGCCCAGGTGGTGATCATGAGGGACTACCGGCATGAGAACGTGGTGGAGATGTACAACAGCTACCTGGTGGGTGACGAGCTCTGGGTGGTCATGGAATTCTTGGAGGGAGGCGCTCTCACGGATATCGTCACCCACACCAGGTACTGCTGGGTGACCTGCTGGCTCAGTGTGCTCCCAGGGGTGGGGCTGGGACCCTTCAGCCTCTGGTGATAGACAAGTCCCTCCGGAGTGTGAGTGGGGCCGTGAAGCCAGCACACAGGATGGGGTCATAGCATCTTAGCTCCCCCAGCCCCTATTGCGGCAGGTCTTTGTGACCTCCTGATGTCCTGAAGCAGAGTGAGGGTCTCTTAGCTCCCCACCCTCACCCCAGGGCCGGACATTCCAGCAGGGCCCTGTCTGCCCAGTTGTTCCTTCTGCCCGTGCAGGATGAACGAGGAACAGATTGCCGCTGTGTGCCTGGCTGTGCTGCAGGCGCTGTCTGTGCTCCACGCCCAGGGCGTCATCCACCGAGACATCAAGAGTGACTCCATCTTGCTGACCCACGATGGCCGGGTAAGTGGGAAAGAGGCTGGATGTGTGAGGCAGCTTTTTTGTTTGTTTTTGTTGTTCAAGACAGAATTCCTCTGTGTAGCCCTGGCTGTCCTGGAACTCACTCTGTAGACCAGGCTGGCCTCGAACTCACAGAGATCCGCCTGCCTCTGCCTCCCGAGTGCTGGGATTAAAGGCTGCACCACCACCGCCCAGCAGCTTTTCATCTTTCTGACAGAACAGCTTGAAGGAGGAAGGTTTTGTGTTTTGTTTCTTAGCATTTCAGAGGTTTCCGTCCATCATGGAGCCAAGTAGCTCCCTTCTTGGCAGCCAGGAAGCAGGAGAAAGCTTGTGCTGAGGGTCTCCTTCCCTTCGTTCCAGCCTGTAGAGTAGTGCCACCCACATTCAGGGCAGCTCTTGTCCCCGGTTAATCCTCTCTGGAAGTGTCCTCAGACACCCCGAAGCTAGGCTCCTCACAGCCTTCCCAAGCTGATGGTCAGCAGCACACCGCGCTGGGCCCTGCCTTGCCCCCCTCCTCCCGCTGCTGCCAGGATGCCAGTTGAGCCTGTTGGGTGACTAGAAGAGCAGCTGACTGCTGTGCTCCTCGAGGAGCAGCCCAGAGCAGGGGTCCAGATGGGGGAATGAACTGTCGTCACAGAACTGAAGCTAGAGACCCTCCCAGGGCCCAGCAAGGAAGGACTTATGCCCACAGTCATAGCTGTAGGCTGCATGCCTCCCAGCCAAGCAGCTGGCCTGTCTCCCCTGTTGGTTTTGGTTTTGGTTTTGTTTTGACACAGGGTCTCACTGTGTAGCCCTGGCTGGCCTGGAACTTGCTGTGTCAACCAGGCTGGCCTTGAACTCACAGAGATCCACTTGCTCCCACACCTGGCTTTGCTTTGTTTTTTGAGACTGGCTTCTGAGGGTCCCTGCTGGCCTGATACTTGCTACACTGCCCTGGGCTGGCTTCTGACTCCTGGTTTAGACTTCTGAGAGCTGAGATTACGGGCGTGCTCCACCATCTCTGGCGCCCAGGCAGGACCCTCAAGGGCCTTGTTGCCCTGGCACTCCAGCCTTGCCCACATGTGTGCCCGGTGTGCTGAGATCCCGAGTGTGGCCTCCTGAGTGCCGCCCTCACTTCAGCAAGCCGGGTTTGAGCACAGGGTAACCAAGAAACAGTCCGGAGCCCTGCTGTGCAGCTGGCTTTGCCGGATCCCCCTTTAGACCGAGGTCTGACTCTGAGTCTGGGGCCATGGTGGAGTCAGGCAGTGCCATAGCCCAAGGGGACATGAGTTCTGGGGGCCAGAAGAGCCGTCCACACCGTCAGGAGTCGGAAAGAGCCTGCAGCTCAGGGTGAGAGGCCCAGGGACTCATTTTGGCAGAGACGTGTCCCCCCCGCACACACACACAGACTCACACTCTTTTGCTCTCTCACACACAGACCCAGGCTGGGCTGTGTTCCTTGTGAACCAGTGACTAGCACTTTCTCCCACTAGGTCCAAGGGGCAAGAGCGCTGAGCTTTCAGAGCCGAGCCCGTCTTGGGCCCTGCTGAGCCCGCACTACCAGCAGCCTGCCTGCAGCCTGCCTGCAGCCCTGGAGCGCATCTCCTCCCCCGCTGCTCAGTGGAGCCCGTGTGGGTGTCTGAAGGCGGTCGGGTGTCTGAAGGGTCGGGTGGACGGGCCCCTCTGACCTGCAGCCTGTCTGCCCCAGGTGAAGCTGTCCGACTTCGGGTTCTGCGCCCAGGTGAGCAAGGAGGTGCCGAGGAGGAAGTCACTGGTAGGCACACCCTACTGGATGGCCCCAGAGCTGATCTCCCGCCTTCCCTACGGGCCAGAGGTAAGCCCAGTGCTGGCCCCCAACCCAGGCTTGAGCATCCTGTGTGAAGGTGGCCTGCTTCCTTTATTGTTGGGAAGGCCGGGCTGATGACGAGGGAGCCCCTGTTGCTAGGGAAGAGGTGCCACCTTCATCCTGGCCATGGTACCACCTGAGCCCGCCACCTGATGCTGTGGCCTGCCCGGCACTGAGCTTTTCTCCCTCAGCCAGCAAACTTGATCCCCACTAGACATGGGGGTGGGCAGGCTGGAACAAGGCCCCACAGGAAGCCAGACCAGCATGAGAATCCTTGGGACTGTCTCAGTCAGGGTGGCTTGTAAGTGACAGATTTGGAGCTTGAACACACCAGCAACCCATGGCAGCTCTTGTTCCCTAGACCTGAGGATCAGGGTAGGCAGGCTCCACTGTCCGTGGCTGATGGTGGCTGATGGGCCCGGGACTAGGACAAAGAGGTGGGGCCAACTGGGGCCACGCTTCCTGGGGCTTGCAGAGGATTGGCTGCCAGCTCTGTGGGCCCCTCCCACTCTAGGTAGACATCTGGTCACTGGGGGTGATGGTGATCGAGATGGTGGATGGGGAGCCCCCCTACTTCAATGAGCCACCCCTCAAAGCCATGAAGATGATCCGGGACAACCTGCCACCCCGACTGAAGAACCTGCACAAGGTGAACAGAACTAGGCTGTGCCGTAGGTGACGCCTGGTGCCTCCCCCAACCCCAGAGACAGCCACAGGGTCCCCTGAGCCCTAGGCTACCACAGAGCTCAGGCCCAGGTTGCCTGACTGTAGGGCCATCCTGTTGGGGATTTGCATGTGGGAAGGGGCTGCTGCCTGCTTGGCCAGACCACGGAAGTGGGGAGGAGATGAGCCCTAAGGCCTTTGGGTGTCATGCCCCTTGTGGTCCTGTGGTAACTCCTGAGGCTTCTTCAGCCCACCCTGAGATGTCGTCAGCCCACAGGACATTAAAGGAAAGTGGCCCTGTAGCAAGTAACCCTGTCCCTGACCTCTGCTCCTCCGCAGGCATCGCCATCTCTGAAAGGCTTCCTGGACCGCCTGCTGGTGCGTGACCCAGCCCAGCGGGCCACTGCTGCTGAGCTGCTGAAGCACCCTTTCCTCACCAAGGCGGGGCCACCGGCCAGCATTGTACCCCTCATGCGCCAGCACCGAACCAGATGAGCCGGAGCCTGGTCCCCAACCAAAGAGCCCTGGGCCACCCTGCCCAGCAGAGGCCAGTAGGGGGCCGATGCGCTCCTGCAGCCAGCCCATGAGACACCGTGGGCAGCCACCATCACTGTGCTGGGGGTTTCGTGGGACCCAACTGCTGAAGTCCGGTTTGGGTTCCATGACTGTTAAAGCAGCACCAGGACATGTGGGAGCAAGTGAGGCTCCCTGGTCCCTCACCCTCCAGGACAGGCCCCTCCCCTGTGCTCAGTCCACAGGAGAGCAGGCGGCAGCCCCATCACTGGAAATCTGCATCAGGGGTCACTGGGGACAGAGATGATGCTGTGAGAAAGGTGCGTGTGTAAAGAGTGTGTGTGTGTGTGTGTGTGTGTGTGTGTGTGTGTGTGTGTGTGTGCCCAGAAAGTCCAGCTCCTCTGTCCTCAGTCTGCAAGGGGGATCTCAGGCCTTGCCTGGTGCCCAGCCCCTGACCCTGAGCCATTGAAGGGTCAATCATGAATGTTTGAAGAGTGGCCTTTTCCCAGAGCCCCACACCCTCTTTCCACAGGAGAGTCAGGTTGGGGCCTCGCCTCCCCCAACCTCTGCAGCTAATGACTACTGCACCTGGACAGCCTCCATTTTCTAGAAGTCTATTTATATTGTCATTTTATAACACTAGCTGTGTCTTAACCTGGGCACAGATGATCCCTGACCTGTGGGGTGGCCCGGAGACAGAGCCACTTTTGAAGAATCAGGCTCCTGTCCCCCATCCCGCCGCCCCTCCCTCCAGTTAGTTTTACAATTAAAACATTTTCTTGTTTTGTGGTATGTGGTGTATGAAGGTTGTTGCCCCACTCTGTGGTGAGGGAAGTTTGGGGACTGGCCTGCGAACCCAGACTTCACTGGAGAGACATTCCACCCTACTGCCTGTGTGGGACAAGTGGGCCCCAACTCTGGAAGCAGCCTATTGGCCAGAGTACAGGTGCTGCCTCCCCACATCCTGGCAGCCTGAAATTAGTGCTTTCTCCTTTCAAAAAAAAAGTATTTACTTGTTTTGAGACAGGGTCTCACTACATAGCTTAGGCTGGCCCAAACTTGCTGTATAGCCTGGGTTAGCTTCAGACCTGTAGCACTCCCCTGCCTCTGTCTCCTGATTGCTGCTGTGATTACAGCGTGTGAACATCGCCACGGTCACCACACAGGGCCTCGTGTTAGGTGTTGATCCTGTTTAGTGTAGGAACTAGCAGAGTTTGGGCTTGACTCAGGCTGAGTAACCTGGAGCTAGCAGCCTGGGACACTTGTCCAAGGAGAATCCTCCAAGCCCAGCGATGGGGGAGAAGGACTCTGTAGCAGCCAGCACCCTGCCTCTGCCCTCTGAGCACACCCACCACAGCCTCAGATTCCCTCAGGGCTGTCCGGTTCACCCCATATCTACTGCCACACAGCTCTGGCCTCGGGGTCGGGACCTGTATGTGGTGGGGCCATGCCAGTGCCTTACAGATGCAGACAAGGCAGTGTGGGAAGCAACTACTGTTAGGAATGCATGGCCTGAGTGGAGTGGCTTCCTTCCTGTAAAGAAACAGGCCCACGTTGGCAGGAAAAACACTAAAATGACATATGCCCAAAGACGAGCCTCAGGCCTCGTGCTGAGGATGTCGCTCAGTTGGTGGAGTATTTGCCCTGGGTCCATTTCCCAGCACTGTGCAAAACCAGACCTGGTGCTGCGTGCCTGTTGTTATCGAGAACTCAGTGTGAGGCAGGGGGATCAGATGTTGAAGAGTTGGAGGCCGCCAGGGCTGCGTGAGACCATGAAACAAAAATAAGCTGGGTGTGGTGGCGCACGCCTTTAATCCCAGCACTTGGGAGGCAGAAGCAGGTGATTCTATGTGAGTTCGAGGCCGATGTGAGCTACAGTCAGAGCTACTTAATGAGACTTTGTCTCAGAAATAAAGCAAATGATGTAGCAGACAGTCACGGAACCTAGGCTGTTCCATAGAACAAGGCCAAAGGAATAGCTCACTTAGGGGGCTAGTGACCAGGGAAGGACGAGCCTTCCAGAGCCCTGAGGCTGAGTGCCTGAATGCGATCCCATTGGCAGCTGAACGCTTCTGGGAGGTACCACGCGGTGCAGGTGAAGAAATGGCCCGATACAGGAAGTCAGCTGCCCTGCCTTCGACCCCTCTCTCAGCTCTGCCTCCTGCCCCAGGCAACTGCAGGAATGTCCCAAAGGGTCAGCCACTTGCTGTCAGGAACACCTAACCCCCTGACTGTCCCAATCGGGATTAGTGCAGGGTGCCGGTCACACAGTGTCAGGAAGACTGGAGAAGCCAAAAGACCAATTACCCAAAGACCCATGGGGCCGCTGTCACAAGAGTGGCTGGGGGAATAAAGGGGTGAGTGGTGTTACCCCAACCCTGGAAAGAAGGTCCCTCACCTCTGCTGTGGCTCGAGCAGAATGGCTCCTCCCAGCTGCCCACCCTAAACTTGGAGAGTATCTTCCTGAGTAGAGCCTTCTAGGTGTGTTGGCAAGGGTGTTTCTATAATGCGATTTCTGGGGACCTCTAGACTGCAGAAGCAGGACCCCGGGCTAGTACGCGGGAGGGCCAGGTGTGCCGCCTGCAAGGGCAGCAGAGACGAAAGGATGAGATTATGAACTTGCTTTGTCCGAATGCAACTGGCCAAACCCCGCACTCTACAAGCTGTGGATCAACTCAGCTGGGTGGGAAGGTGGGTGACAAGTGGGGCCCAAGAGCAGGCGGGGAGGTTCCAGAATTTATTCTTCAAGCCGGAGGGGTGTGAGCGGGGAACCCAAACAAATGGTGGAAACAGGTCAGACCAGCAGGTCTCTAAAGTATGCATCCTTGGTCCACCCTGAGAACTTGCAAATTTGATTTCCTGGGTTCCACCCAGGCTGAATCAGAACCTGGGTGGGCCCATCAATCCATATGTCAACAAGTACTCTGATGTCCGCTCCATTATGGAAACCCCAGAAACAAGGTCACCTTTCTGTGCTAAACAGGAAACTGGAATTTGGTCGTTCAAGTCACAGGGACCCCAGTCTCCCTCAGCCCTCCATCCTGGGACTGTAACCTCCTGGATGAAGGGTGGGCACTTTAAGGAATTGACCCCAGGTGTTTGGGCATGCCCAGGGGCAAGGCAGGCTGGGAAATGTAGTCCTTGCTATCCAGGACTTGAGGAGCCCAACCCCAGTGGCTCATTGGATTTGCTGGGTTTGACCCTCAGAACTGTAGCATCTGAGAGTTCAGAAGTAGATCCGATGTGTGCAGGAGGTTCTCATACAAAAATGGTGACCTCCACAAATCAACGGGGGGAAAGAGATTGTAGAATCACAGTGCCCAGGAAGCTGGTACGTTTCACCCGAGGAAGACAAATATCATTACTGATTGCACACAGGAGAGGGCAGCCTACAGCCCGGCAAGGTGGCTCCTCTGGTAAAGGTGCCTGCTGCCAAGCCCAGTGACCTGAGTTCTATCGCCAGGACCCACTGGGTGGAAAGAGAGAACCCATTTCTGTAAACTGTCCCCTGACACAGACAAAAACAAATAGATTTAAAGGCAGCCTACATTTGTGCTGTCCAAAACAGGACCCCCAGGCAAATGTGGGTGGCTATTTAATTTTCAGCTAATGTATGACTCAGTGGAGTGTTTGCCTACCACTCATGAGACCCTGGATTTAATTCTCAGCACCGCAAAACCAAACCAAAGTGAACACAAAAATGAAATTCAACAGCCTGGTGCTGGAGAGATGGCTCAGTGGTTAAGAGCACTTGCAGAGGACTTGGGTTCGACTTCCAGCACCAACATGGCAGCTCCCGCATGGCCCCTTGAGTGTGCCAGGAAACTGGCGTGTGCCACACCAATGCTCTGAAGTGCTGGACCACCCGTCCAGCCCCAGCGGCTTTCCTCTTTTTATTCCACCTGAGATCCTAACCCATGGGCTGACACCACTCACGCACCTTCAAGGAGTATCTTCCCACTTCAGTCACCTTAAGCCAGAAAGTCCCTCACAGCTGTCTGTGAGGAGAGAAGCCTGTCTCCTTGGTGACTCCAGACCCTGTCAGGTTGACAATATTAACCATTACATCCCCACAGTGTCTTTTCCCTCAGGTGTTTGGTCACAACGATGAAAGACTGTGACCAAGAGCAGAGAGAAGAAAGTAGCCCACGAGTGCAGAGCCAAAAGGGACATCTGAAATAAAGCCGTATGAATAATATCAGTGAAAAATAAAACAGATGAAAGGAGCGGATACTCTAAAAGTCAAGATGCTTCAGTTCTCCTGGACATGGCGGTGCAGCTGGAGGAGAGAGTTCTGGGTCACCCTGGGCTGCATAGTGAGTCCCTAACTCAAATTAAATGAAGTCATTAAATAATCTTCACACGTAATAGGCAGATTTCAGAATGAAATGGGCAGGTTTGGAAAATATTTGCAAACACTCACACTGTTCAGATAACCTAGCAAGAATAAGAGGATAACCGTAGCGGGAGCATGAGCGGCGGTTCTGACCAGGCAGGTTGGAGAAGGAAGAGCCCAAAGGTCATGAGGTCAAGAGCAAGGCTCTGACTCACTCACTATTCAAGAAATGCGATTTCAAAACCGGGTGCCACTGCACACTACCCATCTGGGAAAAAAATGGCTGCTTCCTGGTGTGCTACTTCATGATGGACCCAGGATCAGTGACAGTAGGGACCGTGGGCTGAAAGCTCTAAAACCAGGAGCCAAATCCTCCCCTTTAAAAGACAAAATGCCAGATGTGGTGGCGCACATCTTTAATCTCAGCACTCAGGAGGCAGAGGGGGCAGATCTCTGAGTTCAAGGCCAGCCTGGGCTACAGAGTGAGTTCCAGGATAGCCCGGGCTACACAGAGAAACCCTGTCTTGAAAAATTTAAAAAAAAAAAATTTTTTTAAATTGCCCAAAGCTCAGTACATGGCTCAGTGGTAAATGCCTTCTCCATGCAAACACAAAGATCTGAGTTCAAATCCCCAGAACCCAACTAAGGCCAAAATGTTATAGCTTATGTCTGTAAATTCAGTGTTCCTAGAGCAAGATGGGACGTGGAGACAGGAGAATCCCTGAAAGCTCGTGGACCTGCTAGCCTGGGGTCTGCAGCATCTCAAACAAGGTGGAAAGTGAGGATTAGCACTTGAGGTTTTCCTATGACCTCCAGCACACACACACACACACACACACACACACACACACACACACACACACACACACACACACACACACACGTAAGGCTGGGGGTGTGGCTTAGTGGTAGAGCCCCTGCCTAGAATCCCCCAGTGAGGGGCTGGAGTACGGCTGAGCAGCACAGCGCTTGCCTAGATCCATTAGTGAGGGGTGGGATGCATGCGTATACCACCACCTGCAGAGCAGAGCTGGATCACACCCCTCCACCCCATTAAACAACACTCAACTGGATCTGCTTTTCTTTCCTACCAGCCTGGCTGCTGCTGCCCATTCCTGCACCTCTGACCTATGCCCCTTCCTGCTGCCCTCCATCAGGCACAAGTCCTGGGTTCATGGGACATACACTGATTTTGCAGCAGAGTGAAGATCTGGATTCAGGGTGTCTGGACATGGTTCCTCACCAGGGCAGCGTCTGGCCCCGGTGTCCTTCCTTCCCAGCAGGCATGGCCACAGCCCATTGTTGGGACAAACAGTAAACAGAACTTGTGGAGGCCCAGCCCTGGCAAGGCGACATTCTAGCAGAGTGAGCCAGACGGTGACCCAGAGAGCTACTCACTCAGACCTTATAGTCACAGATCACAGTGAGGGCTAGAAGCAAGGACACGGAGCCATGG